TAAATAGTACTCTAATACATTTATGAGGAGAGAGAAAAATGAGTGAGTACTTGTGCATTTTCCTTGATTATTACTCCCTCAATCCCATTTTATGTGGCACCATTTCCTTTTTTGTCAGTCCCAAAAAAAGTCACATTTCATTATATGGTAAGTATTTAAAGGTAGAATTCCTTTTTTACCCTTCTTGGTTCCACTTAATTTTAAATAGTACTCTAATACATTTATGAGGAGAGAGAAAAATGAGTCTACTTTTGAAGGACAATTTGGTAAACTATTTAAAGTCATTATTTATTTGTTAAACTCCGTGTTGGGTCAAATGGTGACACATAAAATAGGACGGAGAGAGTAATACTTATTTCAAATAAAAATCATAAATCACCGAAATCTTTACTTTTGCTTATTTTATTAGTAATAAAACTACAAAACTTAACATACATAAGACCACCCTCGTAGATCCATGGGACTTACGCCCCGCCTCACGCACAGACCTTCTAAAACACTAGTTCTAACCCATTTAATAAATTTATTTTTTTTTAAAAATAAAACTATCCCTCCCCAAAGCCACCCCCACCCTCCACCAACCTATCCCTGATATTTTTTTTTTCTGTTTTTCCAAAACAAAAAAGTTTCTATTTTTCAAAGAACAAGTTATTTACCCCTTCCCCCCCCCCCCCGAGACCCTCAGTCCCTTCCCCCTCTTCCACCAACTGACCCCTAATTTTTTTTTATTTTTCAAAAATAAAAAAATATGTATTTTCAAAAAAAAAAAAATTAGTCCCTCCCCTGTCCCCGCCCCCCTTCTACCAACCTACCCCTAAATTTATATTGTTTTTGAAAAACAAAAACAATCTATTGTTTAAAAAAAAAAATCAACCCTTCCCACAGGCACCCCCACACCCTATCCCCCCCTCCCTCCACCTTCCACCAACCTATCTCTAATTTTTTTTTCAAAAATAAAAAAAATTATTTTTCAAATAAAAAAAATCTACCCCCCCCCCCACGACCTCCACAAATCGACCCCTAATTTTTTTTTTTCAAAAATATAAAATTTTTTGTTTCATTTCAGATATACGATCGACAAAAATTCTCATGTTAACTCATTTTGTCCATATTTGTATGAGTTTAAATATGTTGAAGATCATATTAACCCATTTAAGAAAAGGAAAAAAATATGAGTGATCCTGGACAAAATGGATTCATTTCACTTATATGGGCTGAAATTGTCACCCATAGGCATAATCCTTTGGCTCTTTAATTTTTAATTTACAATATACTATAATAATATGATAACACAAAATTATGAAAAAGAATATCTATAATTTGAAATAGTTACAAACATGATTCAGGAAAGTCATAGAAAATAAAACTTCTAACATAATTGTAAGTATGAATTATCTAATTTCATAATAATAAAAGAATCATTATTTCAAAAAAAAAATATTATTACTATACTACACCTAAAAGAAAATCATCAATAAAATTTACACTAACAAAAAACTGAAATAACCAACAAATTTTACTAACAGCTTAAGTTGGTTAGTATTCTGTTAACAAATAACAACATATTTCTAACTAACTTATAATTTAAAACTTAACAACGAAATTTTAACAAATTACCAATCAAAATCTTACTAACAAAGTATTTTAATTGGTAAATATGGCGGAAAAAAATGACGCCAAATTTAGCAACATTTTATCAACGGATTACCAACTGAAATATTATTAACACACCCCTTTTGTTGGTAATATTACCAACAAAGTATATTTCGGTTGGTTAATATGATAAAAAAATTATTTATATAATTTATTAACATATTACCAATGAATTACTAACCAAACATTTACCAACGACAAGATTGTGTTGCTAAATATACCAACCAAATATAAATATGTTGGTAAATTAATAAAGAATGTAATTTGTTGGTAACTTGATAACCACTATCAAATTAGTTGAAAATTTTGCCGAAGAATAACGATTGTAGTTAGTAAATTACTAACATCATTAAAATAGTTGGTAATGTACCAACTAATCATTAATTCATTGATAAAATTTACCAACATATTAATTATTAGTTGGTAATATTGTATATGAATGTTTAGTTGAATAATAACTGTTATCAACTGTGATAAAATTTATTGATAAATTATTAATTACTAATTTATATTTGAATACTTGATAATTTACCAATTAAAGTTAATTTTTTGATAAATCAACATCTAGTGTTGAGGCTTTCATATTCAGTTATTGTCTTTAGACGTTTTAACTATTAAATTTTAGTCAAAGTTTGACTTTGGTCAATATTTTTTGTAAACATGCTCAGATTAGAACTCTATCAGTGTCATTAGTTTCGAAAGGTCATTTTTTATCTAACAGGAAGGTTGATCAAGTTATGAGGCTTTTGTTTTATGTTTGTGTCATTAGGTGTTTTAAATCTTATGTTATTATCAAAAATTGACTTTGATCAATATTATTGTGAACGTGCTCAAATGAGAATTACGTTAGTATAATTAACTTTAAAGGTCATTTTATCTAATAGGATGATTGGTTCAGATTTTGAGGCTGTCATTTTTAGTGTGTGCCGTTAGGTGTATTAACTTATAAATTTTAGTTAAAATTTAATTTCGATAATTTTATTTGATAAACGTGCTCAAATTAAAAAATTTTCAGTGTAGTTAGATTTAAAAGGTCATTTTTAATGTAATAAGATAGAGGGTTTGAGTTTTGAGGCTTCCGTTTTCAATTTGTGCCATTCGGCATTTCAACTTTTAAGTTTTAGCCAAAATTTCACTTTAGTCAATATTTTTGGTAATCTTGCTCGAATTGAAATTTTGTCATCACGGTTAGTCATATAAGTTCATTTTTGGTCCCATAGGTTGGTTGATTCGGATTTTGAGACTTCTATTTTCAGTTTGTATCGTTAAGCGTTGTAAGTTTTAACTTTTGAATAATTTTGAATTAGGTTAACTTTTTTGAGAAACATGCTCAAATTTAAATTTCGTTAGCGCGATTAGCTTTGGAAGATTATTTTTCGTCTAATAGGATGGTTGGTTTAGATTTCGAGGTTTTCATATTTAGTTTGTACCTTAGGCGTTTCAACTTTTGGCAAAAATTTAATTTTGCTTAACATATTTTGTGAACGTGCTTTCATGAGAATTTTGTCAGCAAGATAAGTCTCGGAAGATCGTTGTTATATCTAATAGGATGGTTGGTTCGTGTTTTGATGCTTTTATTTTCAGTTTGTATTGCTAGACGTATTAACTTTTAAATTTTGGCCAAAAATTAGATTTGATCAATATTTTTTATAAACATGCTCAAATTAAATTTTTGATATAATGATATGTGTCATATTGAGATTAGTTTAACTTATTATTATAGATTTTGCATTGTCTCATTCAAATATGATTTCTAAAATTGATATTAATATTTTTGAATTTATATTCGTGCTCTTAGGTTTTTAAATGCAATATATTAATAAATATTTTATTATTGAATGATCATTTAGTTAAAAATATTTTGAACATATTGTCAATCAATTACTAATCTAACATTGAACGTGAATGATATATTACCAACAAACTAATAATCAATTAGTAAATTTAATAGAAAAATAAATCATCATACTAAAATATTTAAAATTTATTACGAACAAGGATTGTGGTGGAGTGATAAGTATTTTTTATCCTTAATCAAGAGGTCTCGGGTTCGATTTCCATTGGGTACAGAGTTGCATTTGTTGTTAGGGGGAGCGCTTTGCTTTAGCCCCGAATGCCAGACAACCCGACGTGAATTCAAATTTAGTCGGGCTCCAATGAGCTCCAATGTGGGTGTCGTACTAACAAATATATTAACTAAATGTTAGTTTGTGTTTACCAACGAAAATTTCAGGGTGATGTTTCAAAATTTTGTAACAAAATTTTTGGTGTTGACCAATTGATTTTTGATTGGTATGTTTACCAACAAATTAAATTCGATTGGTAATATTTACCAACAATATTTTTAGCAACAAATTAATATAAGTGACATTTGGTTGGTAACTCAATTTATCAACCGATTTGATCAATTTACCAACAATTTCTTTTGTTGGTAATTGAAATTCCTTTTTTAGTGTTACTAGTAGTATAATAAAACCATCACTATAAAAATAAAATTACTTTCAAATAACTAAATGAAATATGATAATTTGAGACAGATGACAAAAAACATAAAGACCAGTATAAGTTAAAAATTAAAATTTTTCTCTGTATTTTAAAAGAAACTTAATGTAATATATTATCACACTCACATTGTTACCAAATAGTAAAGATGCGATACTACAACTTGTTATTTGAGTTATTCCCAATCTTCTTATATTTATAGATAAACTATTAAGTATCATTCATTTATTGAAGAATTATGAGGGTCAACAATATTAACTAAAAGATTTTTTAGCACATAATCAGTGTAAAATCTGTTAGGCAAGCACTGAGTGTTAGATGTTGAACGTTAAACATGCTTACGACGTATAATCGGACACTTAAGGGTCGTTTGGTGTGACGGATAAAAATAAATAGTGATTAGATAAAATAATAATGAGATAAAAATATTGTATCTTGTTTGGTTGCCTTGTTTGGGGATAACTTATCCACCATTTGTATCATAATAATGGAATAAATTATTTTATATACATTGCGAGATAAATAACAAATCTTGGGATAATTTTTTTCCAACCAAATGACCCCTTAAGGCATAAGTCTTATTGAACTAAGCTCCACAAAGTTTTAAGGCGTTTTGTTAGAGTCCTATTTGAAACGAGTCCTAATAAAGTACTGATCAGGACCGCTGACCACTCAATCAATCAACAATGTAGCTAACCCAAACACCTAACACTCAAACCATCATGACTTCATGAGATAGTTTTGAACATTTCTCAATCTTCACATATTGGGCTTTAATATGTAGAAAGTTGGGATAAATATGTTATTTCGATTTCTCAACGGTCAACCCGGATGCCCTTTAGCAGACCCGTCCAAAAACCCTAGAAACCTTGAAGCGTATAAATACATCCAATTGAGTTAATTAGGGTTCCTTCTTCCTTCTTCCCTCACTTGCATTTCGCTTCTATCACTGCAGGACACAATGTCGCAAGAATCACTGGTCCTCCGCGGCACAATGAAGGCCCATACAGATTGGGTGACAGCCATTGCCACTCCGATTGATAACTCCGACATGATTGTCACATCGTCTCGTGACAAATCCATCATTGTTTGGTCACTTACAAAAGAGGGCTCACAGTACGGTGTCCCCCGTCGCCGTCTCACCGGACACGGCCATTTCGTCCAAGATGTTGTGTTATCATCAGACGGTATGTTTGCACTTTCCGGATCTTGGGACGGTGAACTCCGTTTATGGGATCTTCAAGCTGGAACCACTGCCCGGCGTTTCGTTGGACACACGAAGGATGTTTTATCCGTTGCATTTTCAGTTGATAACCGTCAGATTGTTTCTGCATCTCGTGACAAATCGATTAAGCTATGGAACACTTTGGGTGAGTGTAAATACACGATTCAGGATCAAGATTCACATTCTGATTGGGTGTCTTGTGTTCGTTTTAGCCCAAATAATCTTCAACCAACTATTGTTTCTGGATCATGGGATCGGACTGTGAAAATCTGGAATCTTTCTAACTGTAAGCTTCGCGCTACTCTTGCTGGGCACACTGGTTATGTGAATACTGCTGCAGTATCTCCAGATGGTTCTTTGTGTGCTAGTGGAGGAAAGGATGGAGTGATTTTGTTGTGGGATTTGGCTGAAGGGAAGAAATTGTACTCCCTTGATTCTGGTTCTATTATTCATGCTCTTTGTTTTAGCCCCAATAGGTACTGGTTATGTGCTGCAACTGAGTCTAGTATTAAAATTTGGGATTTGGAGAGTAAGAGTATTGTTGTTGATCTTCGTGTTGATCTCAAGCAAGAGACTGAAATGTCTGGCAATGCAACTTCTACTTCTGGCAATAGCAAAACCAAGGTGAGTTTGATTTTTCCTCTTCCTTCTTTTCTTTTCCTAAATCATGTATGTTCCTTGTTTGCTTCAAAAATGCTACTTTTGGTTTATTGTTTTATGTTATGTGTAGTATGAAGATGATTGTTTGAATGATATCAGTGGAGTAGTTCATAATCTTATCAGTAAAATAACATAGTTAGTAATTCTTAGCAGGGGTTAGCTTCTCGAGCTTTTCTTGTTCTTGTTCTCTAGACTTAATGGTATAATATACTTGGTTCTGTAGGAAGTTATGGTAGTAAAACAGATAGTATTAAAGTTTCTTAGAACTAGTATTTATCACCCGACCAATTTGTCAGTTTATTCTCTTATGAATTCTTTTCTATTCTCTTTTTGCAGTTTTTAGCATTCTTTTCTTACTGGTTCAGTCATTTGTTAGTACACAAATGAGAATCTTTAATATTTAGATGGGTTGCTACTCTTTTTACTTGCAAGTTTATAACTTTACATTTCTATGGTTGTTTTAACCTGATTTTTGTAATGATGCTGTGTGCCTGGAGTTCGTCAGTTCAATTGTTGTCAATGCTGAAATACCTTGTGTGTAGCTAAACTCATTTAATCACCACTTGATAGGTTATATACTGCACCAGTTTGAGTTGGAGTGCTGATGGGAGCACACTTTTCAGTGGATACACAGATGGTCTGATTAGAGTGTGGGGTATTGGCCGCTACTAGGATTAACATATAGCACCATTTGGCATGACTTCCATTTAGATGAAATCTAAATGATTGAAAGAAGTACGCCGGTTTCTCTTTGTTTTCACAGTTTTGGATTTTATTTAAGCACTTATGTTTGGATGTAGATGATCCATCCAACAAGTGGTTTTTGCCTAGTCCTTGGGTAACTTTGTGTTTCCTTTTATGTTTTTCTACCTTACAGATATTTAGTTTGTTTATGAGAAGTCTTCAATTCTATCTATACTCCTTTTTATCCTCCTTTTTCTTGGTGTTTGGGCAAAATATTTTATTGCAATTATTTATCAGGTCATTTTGCTAGGGCGAATAGCTCGTTGTCCCCTTCGTTTTATAGTGTCGTTGAAGAACTGGTAATCGTATTTTGTGTCTAATTGTCACTTGAAATTTGACATATGATATCTCTACTGGGAGTTCTTGTAGCTTACACTGAAATGTAACTTTCTATAACCTCAAGATTTGAGGATGCTCTCTATTTGTCTAAGTTGTATCTTTTCAACTGTGGGAACTTTAGCGCTTAAGATTATTGTATTTAGAACAGTTCTGTATAATAGGTTCTAGATAAGTGTTATTGTGTATCAGGTAATACAAATGCAAAACAAATACTCAGAGATGGTGTAGATTCAGACAACACAAACATACAAATGAAACTGATAATTCATGACATTAACAATACATAGTACTCTTTCTATTCTAATGCATCTTATTCGATACTTCATTTTTAATTTTAATACAGCTTTTTCAATTAATAGAACAAACCACAGTCATTAGTATTCTTGTGCAATGGATTCAACTGTCCAGAAATGTTGGACAGTTGATGTAAGATCATCCACAAATCGTTCAAGTGTGGAGGTGTTTAAATAATTTCTTCTGTACAAAGAAATGAATGGTCGAAGTAATGAGTTTTCATTGATGTTGACACAAACATTGTTAAATGCTTGAGAGTTTTTTCTATTTAATCTTTTTCGTCTTTGTTGCTGGCTGTATTTTTGACTAACAAGAAATATTTTGGTGACTGCTTGTTATCGTGTCTTACACTATTTAGGATATGAACTGCCTCATCTCTAGAATGTTGTCTTTTGCCTTTCCTGACTTAACAGGGCATCTTGTTTGTGATTTTCTGTTTGATTATCTGGCTTAGAAAATGTCCATGTAGACGAGATATACGAGGGTACTTTCTTATTTCTTCTGCTGTGTTATGGCCCTCAGTTTTTAGCCAGTTTCTAGTAGTGTGAAAGCTCCTTATAAGATGAAAAGAGCACCAAAAGAATTACTGAAGAATGGAAGTAGAAGGGGTTAACTAACCAGCTGATCTTGCACATGCTTGTACACCTTTGCGACAATTTGTGGCCTCTGTAATAGTTAACCAGCAGTCTCCACAAGCAGTTGAGTCATAGAGGGAAGGAGAAGGTGATTCCAGTCCTGGATTCACACAGTGTCAACTTCCTGAGCTCAGCTCTATAGCTAAGAGGACTGGTGGAGGAGTGAGGATATGTGAGACTACTAAGTCAAGTTACGTGCCTGTGGTAGTGGGACAACTGTGTCTTAATGAGTAATTTCCCTAGATAGTCAACTATGTTTGAGAAATTATCTAATAATATCGTTTTTGTTTGTCTTAGAATTATAATAACACCAACTTTGCATATTTTTTTCAAAATATATTTGATAAAAAAAGACATCTTATTTCCTTTTTACTAATAATTAAAAAAAAAAATCTTTTTAAATCAACCTATATGATATACTCGGTAAAAATAATAATTACATAACGTTGCGTGAACCTTTTAAAACAAACTAACATTGATTTATCTGTTATTATGATTGACAAACTAACATTGATTTCTCTGTTATTATGATTGACACTAATTATTTATTCTAAATCATTTATTCTTTAAGTTATTATAGAATGCGCAAAGTGAACATTAAAAACAAGTGAAAGTGAACGAAAAGATCTTTTTCAAGCAACTATTCCCTTTGTCCATTTTTATTTATTCATTACACTATAAATAATTATTTATTTTTAATTGTTTATTCTAGAAAATCAAGTGATAATTTATTAATTAATTCCTAATTCATTGTTATTATTAATTATGGTCATTTGCCAATGCATTTTTAAAATATAAATTTATTATTTTCAAAGATTGATGTAGTAAAATTGTTTTTATTATTTCTTAAGAATTATGTCAAATAAATACTGAACAAGTAAATCTGTAAAGATGGAAGGAGTAGAAATAAATTTTCCAGTTAAAAAAAGAATAATATGATGTGTCATTCCATTAAAGCGTGCCCTATGCATATTCTTTGAAAAATTAATGAATGAATGAATTGAAAAGTGATTTTAGAAAAATAATTAATGTTAACTGTAACAATAGAATAAAAAATGTCTATCTCTTAATATGCCAAAGTAAAAAATTAAAAATTAAAAATGATAAATAATAAATAATTATTTTTTTACTCAATATAACTTATAGTTATTTTAAAATATTATTTTTTTTAATAAAAAATTAATAATGTGAGATGACATCTCAATGGGATAGAGAATAATGTTCTTTTTTGTCAAGTATATTTTGAGGATAATATGCAAAGTTGGAAAATATTATAATCCTAAAACAAACACAAGTAATATTACTAGGTAATTTTTCAAACATGAATGACTATCTAGGGAAATTACTGCTCAAAATATAGTAGCAATTTAGCCAAAATGCAATAACTATTTGTTCAAGCACACAACAATTATTTGCCCTTGAAGGCAATAACAAATTGCTCAAATGGAGCCGGCGGCAGTTTTTCATGCAAGCTCTACCCTGTTACACATGAATCCATTAGAGCTGTCATTGGCCAGCCGGCGGTAACGACTAGTCAACTGATCCACTTGCTTCCTGAAGGAATATTAAGGTAAATCAACAACGAGATGTGTACCTTGTAATTCATATCGGAAGTCGTCAATCTGTTTTTTTGACAGGTTGGTACTCAAGCTCGTCTCAAAATCACTAGGAAACAAAGATCTGTTTTCACAAACTAGAAGTTCGCTTTGTGTGACTCACTTCTTTGTTTCTTCACCGATCGCTTATTTTTGGTTTTCTATTTCACACGTTTTCCTCTCTTTCACGTTTCACGTTTTTTTTTGAAAATACTCCCACTAGGAGTTTTTTAAGGAGGGATTGAATAGTTACAATGTAACTATTCCGCCTCATCCTAATTTATCCAAACTAATTAATTAAGAATAAGACATCAAAATAGATCGAATCGGGTCGGTCCACATGGGCGACCCACGACCCAAAATTTACACTTCTGGTATACAACTGCCTTCTCTCCCATATATTCCTATTGATTTGCCTAATGTACCTAACCTGATTTATGGCCTACATTTTTTTGGAAAGGAATCGTTGTTTTCACTAGCATCAGCTATTGGAAAAACAATTCACCTTGATAATGCAAATATTAACAAGACAAGACCGAGTTGTGCAAGGGTGAAAGTTCAAGTAGTCTTACTGGGTGAGCTATCTAAATTTGTGGATTAGAAGTTATTGATCCAGTAAAGAACTCGTCCAAAAGTAGAGAAGATTAATGTGGTATATGACATGCTATCAAAGTATTGCAAGATGCGAACTACAAGGTCATAATGAAGATGAATATAGATTTGAGAAGGAAAGAACAACCCGAGGAAGAAAAGGTGAATGACGAGGAAGTAGTTCAACAACATCAGAGATTTTCGGGGATGAAACTATAAGCACTAGGTCCCTACTAATAGGAGATTCCCCAAGAATAGCGATATCTCTTAAGATATCAAGGGATTGAAAATAGAGAAAGAGAAGGTTATCACTAGTAACACCTTTAATGCACTTACAAAAAAAGATACTGAGAATGATAACGATACATAGGATACAATGGTCTCAAATAAAGGGTGCATGAATGTACTAAAGGATAAATTCGTACTACTTTCTATAAATCAGATGACAATCATCAAGGGGTAAAAAAGGAGAATCCAATAGAAGTTATCCCAGCACAATAGGAAAAGTCAAAAGTGGAGTAACATGATGAATTTGAAAGCCAAAAGCGATTCTCTCAAGTGTGTAAAGAAGCAGGAATATCACCATAAGAGAAATCAAAGAAAGAAAGACTAACTCTCAAGGACTTGTCAGGGTCAATCATGTATGGTATGAAGGATCCAATTTGAAATGATTTACAATGACCTTATATGGAATATTAGATTTGTGAGGACTCGTCACTCATTCCATAGAGTTCAAATGTTTCTAAGGCACCATAAATTTGATTTGATGGCTATAATGAGACCTTTTCAAGAAACAAGGCATATTCAATCCTATAAAAGAAGATTGTGCATTACTTATTCAAATTATAATATAAATGAGAAGATATGGTTATTTGTAAAAGAGAATATTGAGGTGGAATATCAGAATCATAACAATAACTGACGGTGAAATTACTATTTTATAATGGACACCAGATGATCAATACCTTGGTGTATTCAAAATGTAGTTCCTATGAAAGACTACAATTATGGAATGAGATCTACACCATTATTTAGGATATGATATATATTGGTTGGTAGGTGGAGATTTTAATGTCATTTTAACTCCCGGGAGAAGATTGGAGGATTGCTAATCTATCCTAATATGGAGGAAGATTTTGCTTTCTGTGTAAATTCTTGTGAGTTGGTTGATTTAAAATTCAATGTGAGTCCTTTCACATGGTGGAATGGTAGGGATAATGAGGAGTGCATCTTTAAAAGACTGAACATAATACTTGTGAATAATATTGTTTTAGGAGAAATGGGAACGTGAGATTAAATATTCTTTCCCGGTCTGGGTCTGATCATGCACCAATGTTGTTATCTTGTGGTGGAAAATTTCAACATTTTAATAAGTCTTTCATATTTCTTAAATTTTGGGCTGAGAATGAAGAGTTTAAAGAGGCGGTGCTGCAAAATTAGATTGTTGATGACACCTAAAATATTTTTGTAAGCTTGAAGATGAAAATGAAGAGAACTAAAAAGGCTCTGACAAAATGGAGTAGAGATTGTTGTGGGGATATTTTCCAACAACTAATAATCAAGGAAGAAATTTTTCAGAGTTAAAGGAAAAACTATTTGAGGAGACTGTTGGGCTATATTTGCCCTAAATTTCTTACCATAAATAGGTTTTTGATAGAATATGTGCCTTCACTTAACAAGTAATGGACCAGGTCCCTTACTACACTCCAGAAAAATACCAGAAAGTTAAATGCAGTAAAATCAACACAATGATTTTACGTGGAAACCTCCTTACTTAAGGGAGTAAAACCATGACCTGTCTCACAGGATTTTCAATCGTTTTCACTAATCTCCAAAAGCAAAAATAAAACACGATTACACCAAACGTAAGAAAGAGTTATCAATCATACCGTTAAGCAATAGTCCTCTATTACTTAACAAGCCTAAGTAGAAAACAATCTACCCACTAAGCTATCCCACCTGGACAACCTAGACTTTTAACACAGCACACCAAATACTTTATAGATTCAGGAATAGTTTACAGTTTAAGAACAAGAGAATGTATTCCTAAACAACTAGACGAAAAGCTCCAGATATTGCTGTTGTTCTTGGAATAATTCTGCCTTTACTTTGTGGAGCCTTTGCAAGAGTTCTTGAAAAGTTTTATCAAGTTGCAAAACTGACAACAAATGTTTAGGAAAGTGCCTTTTATATGGGCAAGTGACTTTCCTAAACTTCTTTGCCATTGGCTGGAAAGGTCACACTTTCTGACGCCATCGGGAAGTGTGCACCTACTTTCTGTACCGTCTCTAGCTGACAGTTGACTGCTCGTCATCATGAGAGCCTGGTACCTCTACTAGGTCCCTGGGTTTGTTTCATCTGCAATATTTCAAACAAGACACCTGCAATACTCAAGTAGAAAACCCGGTACCTTTATGAGGTCCCTAAGTTTGTCAAATCATCAAAACTACAAATAACATTTTCCCTTTTTTGATGATGACAAACAATGGTATGATCTGAGATCTTCACCAGAATTGTTCCCCCTGACAGTGTATTCCCCCTTATTTAGGTACTAACAGATTACTTCCCCCTTATTTAGCTACTAACAGTTTACTTCCCCCTTTTGGCATCATAAAAAAGATATGCAGTAAACCATTGAGTCAACATAAATACTGAGCAAGATCAAAGCTAATAAGCAATCAAACAGTAGAGGAAGAGCAATCGCAAAAGAACATAGGATGAACATCAAAGGAATAAAGTAACAAACATGCCATTATAACATAAATACATTAAAGACAAACTAAAAATCCATCAACACGATGATCAGCTACACAAAAAAAAAGACACAGGGAAGGATTGATTGACAGTTTAGGAAGAGGGGGGAGTTTGAGATAGGGACTGGATAACAAGAGTGAGTCGTGCATTGGCAGCATCATTATCCTTGATGGCCTTTTCTTGCAGTGCAGTTATCTTTGCCTTCAACTCATTGTTCTCTTTCTCCAGAGCTTGTACAACTGAAGAATCAGGTCCCTCACTCTGTGCAGTAAGCAGCTCTGCTTTGAGTACAACAATTTCAGCCTCTTTACTACTCAACCGCACAGTGAGTTCTTCAATCTCATGTTTAAGCTGATCCA